CTATTGTCCAAACTTTTCTGTACCCAAACATCCCTCGGCCCAGCCCTGTAACCTCGTTGATCTGTCTGTGCGGGGATTTGCCTATTCTAGATAATGTTCATGGAAGATAGATCGTTCCGTTTTTATAATCCGGCACTTCTTATACATAGCTTACTGTTGCAAGGTTCACCCCATGGTTGGAGGCATGTGTCAGAATTCTCTTCCTTTTTTTTTTTTTTTTTTTTTTTTTGAACGAGAGTCTTGCTCTTCGCCCAGGCCAGAGTGCAATGGCCGGGATCTGCAGCTCACTGCAAGTCCGCTCCGGTTCACACCATTCTCCTGCTCACCCTCGAGTAGCCGGGACTAAGGCGCTGCCACTCACGGCTAATTTTTTGTATTTTTAGGTAGAAGACGGGGGTTACCGTGTTTAGCCAGGATGGTGCTCGATCTCTGAGCCTAACGTGATCCGCCCGCCTCGGTCTCCCAAAGATGCTGGGATTATAGCAACACGGCCCGCGGCCCCTCTCTTTTTTAAGAAGTGTAATGATTGGACCACATTGTTCTGTTCTCCTGCTGATGGACATTTGCGGTTGTTTTTCCTTTGACTATGGTGGGTTTTTAGTTTTGTTTTGTTTTGTTTTTAAGAGAGGGTCTTGTGTCTGTCACCCCGGCTGTGGTACAGTGGTGGAGTCAGAGCTCACTGCAACCTGGACCACCTGGACACAAGCAGTCCTCTGCCTCAACTCAGTCCTCAGTGTTGGGTTTCAGGCTTGAGCGACTACATCCGGGCCTTTAATCTTAAGCTGAGAGGTGTACTAAGATAGGTCCTGAGAGTTCACCATTCCAGGTCAGTTTTGTCAGGTACTCTGGTAGGGCGCTTTTTTTCTGTTTTAGATGGAGTCTTGCTTTGTTGCCCAGGTGGAGTGCAAGGGGCAATTCAGCTCACTGACAACCACCTTCCAGGTCTCGTAGGCGTGAGCCACTGCACTCGGCCTTGAATGTCTTTAATAACACTAAATTGCCACTTAAAGTGGCTGAAATGATGCATTTTATGTTACATACTTTTTTTTTTTTTGACACAGAGTCTGGCTCTGTGGCCCAGGCTGGAGTGCGGTGTTGCGATCTCTGCGACAGCCACTCTGCAGCGTGAGCCACTGTGCCCGGCTACATAAATTTTACCACAATTTTTACAAAAGCAGTTAAAAGGCAGGAGACCCAATGTGTGCCAGACAGACAGTGCTGGAGTGTGTTTAAGAAACTCAAGCAAAGGAGATGCGAGTCAAGGGATTAATGAGCAAGTTCTCCTTCAATTATCAAGGCTGCAGAGAAAAGTATCAAGCATTCAGAAGTCTAGGAACCACCACCAAGGGCCTCTCCTAAGCCTCTATCGGGAGGCAAGCTCTATCCAAACAGGTGGTGGCTGGGAACGGCTGTCACCAGGACAGATGGGAGCACAACCAATAGTCAATTGTGAGATGAGACTTAGGAAAAAATAGGTGGGGCAAGGAGAGAAAAATACTATGTTAATGCTGTGTTCTGAGTAGAAAAAAATGCCATTAAGAATGGGAGGAATATTGGCCGGGCACGGTGGCTCAAGCCTGTAATCCCAGCACTTTGGGAGGCCGAGACGGGTGGATCACGAGGTCAGCAGATCAAGACCATCCTGGCTAACCCGTGAAACCCCGTCTCTACTAAAAAAACAAAAAACTAGCGGCAAGGTGCGCGGCGCCTGTAGTCCCAGATACTCGGGAGGCTGAGGCAGGAGAATGGCGTAAACCCGGGACGGCGGAGCTTGCAGTGAGCTGAGATCCGGCCACTGCACTCCAGCCTGGGCGACAGGAGTGAGACTCCGTCTCAAAAAAAAAAAAAAAAAAACACAAAGCACGACGCCCATACCAAGACTCGCCTCAGACTCAGAGACATGAACTGAAAGAGAATGAAAAAGATGCATCACGTCACACTGAAGTGACTTTACCGATGCCAGACAAAACTTTAAACCAAAAAATGTTACTACATTTAAAGCAGACACTTAGATTGATAAAAGGGTCACCACATCTGAAGATACCAGAATTATAAACATACATAAAAGAGATCCCCAAAATACATGAAGTAAAAACTGATGGAAACCAAGGCCAGAAATACATAATTCTACAGTAGAGTTGGACGGTAAGACAGTAGCTCGTTGCTTCCTTTTTTTTTTTTTTTTGATACGGAGTCTTGCTGTGTCGCCCAGGCTGGAGTGTAGTGGTGCGATCGTTGCTCACTGCAACCTCCACTCCCAGGGTTCACACCATTCTCCATACCTCAGCCTGCTCAAGTAGCTGGGGACTTACAGGTGCCCGTCACCATGCCTGGCTAATTTTTTTTTTTTTTTTTGAGACAGAGTCTTGCCTTTCCCCAGGCTGGGGTGCAGTGGTGCGATCTTGGTCTCACTGCAACCTCTGCCTCCCAGGGTTCACCCAACTCTCCCTGCTTCAGCCTCCTTGAGTAAGCTGGGATTACAGGTGCCACCACCATGCCGGCTAATTTTTGGCATTTTTAGTAGACAAGACAGGGTTTTCACCATGTTACCATGGATGTCCGATCTCCCTGATCCGCGTGCATCCGCCCACCACTGCCTCCCATCAGTGCTGAGATACATGGCATGAGCCACGCGCCCCCACTGCAAGCCCACTTTCAAT